AACTAAAAACAAAGGCATTGCTTCATTTTTACAAATATTTATAAATTTCACAATTATAATGAAACGAGAGGTTTCTGTTGGTCGATTGAATAACATTCGAACCTTTCCCAATGACAACGTTTTTGAACTGTACTCGTTGATTAGCTGATTTGATTCAACTGCCATTGTAATGTATATATACATTCAGTTGAGCACAATGATGATTTAATGATCAAAACATAATGTCCTTAATTAAATCATGGAGGTATTGTCGAGTCAGATACACAGTTTAAGTCTGTTTACATTATTTCTAAAGTAAAAATTAAATGCACTATTCAATAATTGGTTCCAAAACAATTTCTACTGGCACGTAACATTTCAATTTCACGATTACTGTTCGTACGCGTTTTAAGGTAGGATATCAAAACAATGACTGTATTGAGGTCACTGGTCAGTCCCGTTTGATTACATCAACACACTCCCGCTGAAAGGAGAGGACCATACATTCCACAAAGATGTTTGTATGCAGATGTCGTTGAAGATGTGTAACACGCACGTCAGTACCAACACAATTACAGTACCAACAAAAACACACTTTATAATCGCTGTAAGAGAAAAATGTTACAAAAAATACTTACCGTACTGTGAGCCGCCATTTTGAATATTGACAAGGCTCCTTAGGTTTGGTTTTAAAATCATGACTTTAATTAAGGCGCCCTCGGGAGACAGGTTCCGGAAAGTCGGGTAATACAGTTTCGAGAGCCTTTAAAATTGACAATCACATATTGCCACCATCAATAATATTAATATTGTTCATCTCTCATATTGCATGCCAAAATAAAGAGAAACAATTAAATAACAATATGGGAACGTAGGGAGAGGGGTCATTTTGCAAATGTCTGAGAAAATTGAGCAGTAAGTTGAAAGAAAATAGAATTATATTTGTTTTCTAAATTATTTTTATTCAAAAGCTTAAAATATTTTTTCCAACAAAAATACTGTTAAATTATCATGTTTATATTCATTAGATAAGATATTTGTTATACCCACGGTATGGGAAAATGACTATTTAGGTATTTAGAATGTACAGTACAATAAATTAATCTAACTCATTAATTTTCGTTCAAAGGACTTTTTGGGTGTTTTGTATGGAAAATGTAGGAAAAAAACTATATTCACTGGATTTTATTTTCACTGAATCATTCCTTCAGCACAAATAGCGAAAATTAATGGGCGGTAGTTGTCGCGCCATGCATCCACAAGATATATGGGTCTCATATAAACAAAGATGGCGACTTTAACTGTTGCGCAGATCAACGAGTACAAACCTAGCTTTAATTAGATATTTTTAGGTGATTGGAAGGTATAGAAGGAGTCACCAGTATTAATTAGTGCAAGTCGCGCCCAAGTCAAACCTCATACTTGTGATTTCCATTAGAGCGTATTGGATTGTGGGAAAATCAATGTTTATCAACACAAATGTCGCATATGCGCAGTGGGACAACCAACCCCTTTAATTCCAAGCGAAAATAAAGTATTTCGCAGTATAAAAAGTATATAACAAACATATAAAGTATCGGTATATAAAAAATCAAAAAATGACAAAAAACATTTTGAATAAAATAAACACAAATAAAGTGTCGGAAATATTTAAAAAAGTTTTTTCTCAAGATGGAGTTGCTCTGATATATTGAGTGAGTGCAGGTAAAAGTTCTGAGTCAGTTCTTGTAAGGGGTGGACCATTAGAAACTCTGTGGGCAAACACAGAAAAGCTATGCAAACTGTTGTTATTTTTTATTCTATTTTTTTTCAATGATGTGGAACATTTTTCACTAAGATTTACATGGGAAGATTTTTTTTCCTGGCTTTCCTTAGACAATAATTTGTTTCCGTAATTTCTCACAAACATCTGTGTACAGTACACATAATGTAACAATTTTCTCTGTAAGAACTTGCATTTTCTTCTAGTCTTGGTTCTGAGAGTACCCATATATCATAAATTTTAGTTTGGTTACCAATTTATGTATCAAGTCTTGGTAATCTCATTTAAACTACTGTAGAATAATTTATTTTTGCTATTTTCGCTGAAGGATGATTCTGTGAAAATAAAATCCAGTGAATATACTTTTTTTTTCCTATATTTCACATTCAACTCATCAAAAATCAGTGAAAATAAATTCCATACAAAACATCCAAAATGCCTTTTCTGCGAAAAATAATTCCAGCTAAAATAAAGTATTTTACAGTATGTAGGTTTGTTATTTATAATTATCAAATTTTGTTCACAAAGTAACTGCAGGGTTAATTTAGTAAAAAACATGGGCTGCCCTCTATGATATGCACGGGTATACGGTACCGGGTAAATTAAATTTTCGTTATTTTTCCTTTGTCAGTTTAGGTAGTCTGCCATGATGAATTTGCACCTGACGCAACACATGTAAAATACATTGTTTATTCAAATGAAATTTGAACACATGCTGCACAGAGACTGTCACCCTTTAATGATAACCAACATGTGCCAAAACAACCAACTATATAAGTTTGACATCTTAAAATCCCTTTTCTGTTGTGAGCACCCTATTCCTCAGGAGGATTTAAGTGTCCTTGTTTCAGGAATGTGGGGTCCAGGCCTACATTGTGACCTTTATGTATGCCCAAATTGGATGCATCTGTACCTACCTATGAATGGCTGGCTGGATAATGTCAGTCGAAGAATGAGTTATTCACATAATTTTGCTCACAGGTTTCTTTGTCAGTGTGACCAAATCACAACTACTGGTAGATGACAAACAATTACTTGTTTATCCTGAGATGGAAATACACACTCGGCACCTGGTTACTATTGATGCAATAACTACACTGTGGTAAGATATGCACCTGAACACCATTGACACAGATCAGTTAGCTATAAACGTCACCTCATGAGATGAGATGATCCAACTAGCAGCCTGTCGGCTGAGATAGCTCCGCTGTTATCAATGCACATTTCAATTAAAGAACTGAAGATATCATTAGAAAATGAACAATATGTATAGTATTAAAGCAATCAGACTTGCTGTTTTGAACAAAAATTTGAAAATATAACTTTTTATCAAAAATATTCATTAAAATTAGATAATTGAAGAACAAAATCATCAAGAAATGAACAAATCTGAGAGAGGTCTACCTGTAGTACCTATGTAGTATATATACCGGTAATATCAAAGCAATTAGACTTGCGGCTTTTAACAAGAAGTCGAAAATATCACTTTTTACCAAAAATTACAAAAATATTCATGAAAATTAGAGAATTATATTTATCATCACGAAATGAACACACCTGAGAGAGGACCACATGTAGTACCTAGATATGTAATATCAAAGCAATTGGACTTGCGGTTTTTAACAAGAAGTCAAAAATATTACTTTTTACCAAAAATATTCATGAAAATGAGAGAATTAAAGATATCATCACGAAATGAACAAATCTGAAAGAGGCCCACATGTAGTACCTACATATACAATATCAAAGCAATCAGACTAGCAGTTTTCAAGGAGAATTCAAAAATATTATTTTTTACCAAAAATGACAAAAATATTCATCAAAATTAGAGAAATAAAGATATCATCACGAAATGAACAAATCTGAGAGAGGTCAACCCAAGCAATTGGGCTAGCGGTTTTCAAGAAGTCGAAAATAGCATTTTTGACCAAAAATTACAAAAATATTCGCTATAAATAAGACAATTGAACATATCCACACGAAATGAACAAATCTTTCACAGCTATACAGTTTGTGGTTTTTAAGAAGAAGTCGAAAATGTAAAGTTCACGACGGCGACGACGGATAATCAGTAATACTATAAGCTCTGCTCCACTTTCTCGACAGCGGAGCTAAAAAGGTTAAGCACTCATGAGTGCCAAGGAAGCTTTGAATCACACTTAAAACATGCTTCAAGTAGAAAAAAAACAAGACAAGGCTACACCAATTTGATAAATAAAGAATCTTTATTTATTAATTTATTGCCTAGAGATTTAGGTAAGATTTCACTTAATCAAAGACTAAATAGATCAAATCTGAAAATAAAGATTTTTGAAACCATCCTAGCATACAAGCAGAAACCAATAATATTGGTGAGACAATGCATGTTTGAATAATTCAGTATTTTTAAGGCAAATGTAATAGGTAAAATGGTAACTTAGTTCTCCAATGGATTTACCAGGTTTTAGGTTTGGTTAGAAACAGTACGTAGTTTATCAGACGTTCTGCCTGGTTTTACCGGAGTTCCCTAACCTTAGGAAAAAAAATAAAAAAACACTGTAATTTGATTACAACTGTGTACTACTAGTTGTACTCAGGTTTGGAGGGTTCTAAAATTACATTCTGTTGAAAGAAAGCTAAAAAAAAAATTTATTATTAAGGAAATTAAAAATGGTGAGATAATGGTCAGCAAGGTTGGTCAGATGATGATTTGGCCATACTCTGCAGCAAAGATGGTCAGATGATGATTTGGCCATACTCTACAGAAAAGATGGTCAGATAATGATTTGGCCATACTCTACAGAAAAGATGGTCAGATGACGATTTGGCCATACTCTACAGAAAAGATGGTCAGATGACGATTTGGCCATACTCTGCAGTAAAGATGGTCAGATGATGATTTGGCCATACTCTACAGCAAAGATGGTCAGGTGATGATTTGGCCATACTCTGCAGCAAAGATGGTCAGCAGAGACTAATTTATAAATATGTTTAAAATATCAAAAGCATAAAACAATATTTGTATTGCTGATACACATTAATGGGAAGAGGTTTGATACAGTTAAGCAGCTATATAGCAGCAATTCTGGCAAACCATGTTGCCATGCAAAAATGCAGTCACATAAAATTATACCATCTAATATCCCAATAAAAAAAAATATACTACATGGAAACCACTCCATTTTGTTTATAAACCTCAAAGACAAGGCAGAGGTGTTCCAGTGAAATAAGAAAGAAAGTAATAAAGGCATCAAAACATCTTAAAAGATTAACTACACAGAAATAGTAAAATGTTGAATATTTTATGGCAGAAAGGCTAGCGTCTGGTGACAAAAATAAAAGGATTCAATTTCTAAGCAAATAAATGGAATTATTTCCAGGAAGGATTAAGCTAAAGTAACTGTTGAAATAAAATGACAAAACAGATAGAACCCCAAAGGTAAGCTACATTATTTGTACAAAAAGTTTCATTTTAACAAGCTTCTAAACTTTGTAAAACTGTTGCGTAGTTTTCTTACTGCTGGTAAAACCATTTTTGTTTTTTAAAGCAGAAAGTTCATACAAAGAATATACTAATAAATTAATTTAAAAGAAAATAACCACAAAGCTTTCCATTTTCAACAAGGAATTACATTGTTTGGTTTTGAATTTTCAATGTTGTATCTGCTTTATTTAGAAGCACATCCTCAATGGAAGCGCATGTAAACCTAAAATTGAATTTAATGTCTACTGAATCATTAAATATGACTTTGAATATAAAAACACCTCTATAATTTACGTAAGCACATGTGCAACTACCGGGTAATAGAAAAAATACAGTATACAAACAAATGAATACTTCTGTTATAATTCCTTTCATTGTTTCCTTCCCTAATGGTTGTACTTGAAATGCAAGAAAAAGTAATATTTGTTAAAATTGGACCAAAAACGAAAAGTTGGCATTTTTAGATACATTTTCAAAATGAAGTCAGCCAGCATTATTGGTCAAAAAACTTTTTAAACCATACTTAATATTGCTTAAAATTAATATATACAAAGTTTGTTGGTACTACTTAGAAATATCACATTTTCATGGGAATACACTGCATTAAAGAATTCTTAATTCTATGGTAAAATATTTTACTTTCAACTTTGAATTGATGAAATTTATTCAAAATGCAGAGAAATATGTCACCTTATGATGACAACAATAACATCAATGTGTGATATAGTTTAATATGTCTGAAAGCAGCAGATGGAGGGTGTTGGGGTCAGAATGGATTAGATGGAGACATTTCAAGTTATATTGTCAAACAACAAAGTCTTTAACATGTCAGGCAATATGTATACTGCGTTAAATGCAAACAATATTAGCAAGATATCCTCTTTGCCAATCACTGAGCGGTTTTGTGGATTCACTTGTGTCATCAAGTCACCAAAATAACTTGCGGTTTCTTTAATTGACAATCAAAGATGAAATGTATTACAAAATTATTACTTGATGTGAAGCATTTTACATTAAGATTAGTCTGAGATGCACACCAGACTCATGTGTTCCTTTCAAATTACAGGAAGATGGGTCATCACTGCGTAGAAATAGGTGATTTTCCAAACAATTGCGAGATCTCGCGAGATGCATGAAAGACGCACGTCGAACGTCTGCCGCAAAAATCGAACGATTTGATTTTGAACTAGAATTTCTTTATTTCGCAGCTTACATTGACCAGCCGATCTTCGACAGAGGAATATTGCTTCCGAATACCCTCACTTAATCGAAATTGCCTATCATCAAATGTGGACAGCACATTATTAAGCATGGAAATGTCCCCGAAATACTTTCGCGTTTGTCGAATCCAACGCGATGTTTGACGCGACTACGACGCTATGACCTTTGTTTGTCCTGTTTTTACGTTCGATTTCACGCATAACGCGTGATTCTCGCAGTGTACGGAAAATGGTCTATTTGAACATTACATACTCCTAGGTTAGTAGCGTTTAGATGAGTATAACTTGCGAATATCATGACATTCAGATTGGAATTTTCGGTCAATTTACTCAAAACTTAATAGGCTTTCAGCTACAATTTGCAGACAATACAACTTTAAGGAACTACTTCAGAAAATATCATTTGCATTGAAGGTCACTGTAAGATGAAATCCAACAAACATCAAACTGCAATGAACATAACACTATTATACATATATCTATAATCTATCTTCCACATCAGCACTAACCATCTCACATTTGAAATTTTTATAATACAGAACAAAATATGTACATCTTTCAAACAAACTGTGGATGGGATTAAAAACTAAGAAATAAATCAAATTGATGACATTCTGAAAATAAGTAAACTTATGGATGCAACATTCAGCCTTTTCTTAATCCAAGTCATGTGACATATATCATAAGTCATGTGACACCTAGCATAAATCATAAAAATTTCCAAAACAATCAATATGTACCACTGATCCATGTTAATCAAATGGCATTTTATGTTTGACTCCTCCACAGTATTTATGTAAATTATCTTATTATATAACCATAAACTCTTTAGCTCCATAATACAAGTTAAAATGAACTCCTTATCTCCCTGAATTATCAAACCTTGTATCTTTTTGTTTATGTATGCATCATACTGTTCTAATTACATAATAGTTGGCGAGGTAGAACACTGATGACAGCAAAAATTAATCAAAAATCAATTGTATACAAATAACAAAAAGAAAGAAAAAAACTTACCAACTACTGCAATGTTTGCTTACAACGTGGAAGTACTGAATTTCAAAATTCAATTATTGCTATGTTGTTGGTGCATATATTACTACATGGAGTGAAGATTGAAAACATCCTCACTGACCCTACATTGAACTTTGACACAGGTTATTCCACACAGGTAATAGAGTATGACATCCAACTATGATTATCAACCACACAAATTTGTAGATGTCCATATTTGGTAATGTAAACATGGTAATCTTGCCCCTAGTATAGGTGTGAGATTTAATGGTAACGCACTTGTTTTGTTTTTTAATTGGCTTGTGTATTTTAATAGAGTAATAATTATGCTTATAGTTAAAACATACCATCTTATTGCCATTTAATGATTTTCAAAGATACTGACAATATTTATTTTGAAGGTAGTGCAGAAGCTGAAAATGGCTGTGGAATAGGAAAACATGTCTCCATTACATTTCTTAATATATACTAGTATGCTTGACTTCAGTGTGTACGGGATTTCCAAATTGAGGTTGTTGACCTTTTTATAACAGTGTCGGTAATGCTGGTGACGAAACTTTAAAATCTGATGCACTGGATAAACTCTGTTCACTACTGCATGTGCTTACAACACTGTCCCCACTCATGTGTCTCCCCCTTGTCCGCAGTTCATTCACACGTGTTATACATGCTACCTCCGAATCCAAATCTTCATCAAATGAATCCATCTTCATCACTGGATTGGTATCTTTGACATCATCACCCAGGGTGAACTCGGAAAGTGATGCTGTGACACCCGCTTCTTCGAGCTTATCTTCTGGTATAAGTTTTCTCAACCGAGCCACAGTGGTAAGCAGAGCTGTTCGTTCGAGTTCAAGTGCACGGACCTGAGATTTGTATTTATTAACAGTTGCTTGCATGTTACCAATAGAGGCTTCCATACTGTGTACTGTACCATGTGCTTTCTGTAGTTGTTCTAGGATCTCCATTTTCTGATGTTTCAAAACACGATTGTTTGTTTCAAGTTTCTCCACCAGGTCAACATCTCCCTTGTGCGGTGTGTTTATCATTTCCTCTTGCAAGACGTGATACTCCACCTCATACGCATGCAGCTGTCTGGAGATATCCAATTCAAACACCTGTCAAAAATAAACAAGCCATGCATGGCACAGTCCCTGTTAGTTATCAAATTTAAGATATATAGTTTTGTTTATAGTAATATAGCTGGAATATAACCATGTCAGGAATATGATTTTTTTAACATTAAAATGATTGACATTTGTATCTGATCGTCAAACAAGTACTTGTGCATATTGAGAGATATTGCTCTGGAACAGCATTCAAAATCAGTCATTTTGAATACATGTAAGCAAATAACACCGAATAAACGG